GAAAGGGTTCCATCCCCTTCCAAAGGAATCCCAAGATGCACTTGGTTCACAAAAAAGGCCTGTTGCAAAGCAGCCAACGTGGTGACATCATGCAGGCCTTTGGCCCGTGGAGGTTGGCTTGCTAAGCGTTCGATAGCATTTCAGTAATGGATAGTCTCTGGCAGACTGCCCTGGAGGGAATGAGAATATTCCATTGAGCTGGAAAAGTCTGTAGTTATCAGTTGATGCCTTTCCTTTCTCATGAGTCTTTAATCAGATTTATGGAAACCACTTTTAAGGGCAGATTTTATTTAAAGCTGAGAACAGTGAAAATGAACCTGGGAAAATAAACATTCGCAATATACAGACATGCGCAAAAGAAAAAAAATGGAAAAGGAAAGGAAGAAGAAAATAGTTGAGCCCTTGAAAAAAAATTTTTTTTAAAAAAAACCCTAAGTATTTCCTTCATAATTCTTTTTTGAGTTGCAGTGCTTTAGAGAAGCAAAGCTCAATCATTTTTCCTGAAATTGAGAAATTAAGTTTTCATTTGAAAATGTTTCCTGTCTCCTTTAAGGAACAAAAGCTGGATTTGCATCATATTAGACCTAATGTGGTTTTGATTTTGCCTAGCATATTGCATAAATCCAGCTCATGTGTTTTCTTTGCTAAACTATCTTTAACCAAATCATGGTTTACTATTGTGTTGAACAGAGAAGGAAAGCAATCATACAAGTGATGCATGTACAGTATACAGGATTGATACTTTGTCTTCATGTATATGTAAGGGTGAAAATAGTTCTTGGGCCAGGTGAGTAGAAAGGCTAAAACAAAGAGTAAGTTATAGGGAGAAACTTGATCACAACATCCCAGAGGTGGACATACAGCAGCAGTGCAAGATGGATGGAAAAAAGTAGAACAATGAAAACGTATGGCATCAGAAGATGAAGATTGCCTATCCTAGCAAAAATGTACAATTCATTTCCTGGATGGGGGATGTAAAAGCAATTGTGCTATCCTCCCAGTACAACTGGAAAGATCAAGGACAAGCAGCTCATTTTCCAGCTGTGAAAAACATATAATCAAAAGTGGGCAAAACATGTCAGAATTCAAATGTCCCACTTTGTGAAATGGCCGTTTCAAGGACAAAACTGGCTGTTCCAATTGCTTTGGGCGCAGTCTGAGCTCAAGAGTCTTCTTAAATGATTAAAGGAACGGTTTTGCACAAGAAGGGAGAGGGGAAACCAAATTCAAAGTAATTCAAATTCAGAAACATTTTGCACATGATTCTGTGTAGTCAAGTCAGGAGAAGTGGTCTAGTTTAAAGCAGAGGTGGGGAACTATTGCCCCTTTAAGACTTGTGGACTTCAACTGCCAGAATTCCTGAGCCAGCATGGCTGGCTCAGGAATTCTGGGAGTTGAAGTCCACATGTCATAAAAGGGTCTTAGTTCCCCACCCCTGGTTTAAAGAGATATCCGTTGGTGCTTCTGTAAATTTTTCTTGCATTTGTACAAAAAGTAGATGAAGGCAAAAATGAGGCAGCAAATTCTTTCAGTGGAAGCTCTGCAGAAATGCCCTGGCATGGTTAGGAGTGGAGTGCCTAGGACTCATCTATTACTTAGTAAAGACCACATCAAATCTCCTTGGTTGGCTGAGGTTTAATATGCATGCAGTCCACGTAGAATATTTTCAGAGAGGCTCTGAATGAAATTATTCCTACCTTTAAGAACACAGCCCCAGGAGTCACAATCAATGGAAGATGATTAGGTTCTCCTGGTTCACAAGGCAAGACAAAAATCTTTTCCATTATAAATTTGGAAAGGTCACTCTGATTTGAATCTACCACTCCTTGACCATAAAAAAAACCTTGGAAATATATATTTCTTTGGTCTTCTTATGGGGTTTTTTTGGGAGAGAGGTGGACACTTAAAGTTGCAGGGAGCTCCTCTAAGACCAAGGAATTTACTGGAAAAGGGAACACTGGAAAATATATTCCCTTGTGGGAATGTTCCCTTCCCTTCTCTTAGGGGAGATTTTAATTGTGAAAAATATGTAGCAAATTCTAAGGATGATTAACATGTTTATTTGTGCCTCTGAAACACAAACATTGCATTCTAAATGTACTAATTCAAAACAATGTGTGTGGCACAGAACCAAGAATGACATGTGGCAGTTCCAAGTTGAGTACTTGTTTCACACCTATAGAGGAAATCTTGCCACACTGCGGACCCTACTATCTGCATCTACAGTACTTTCTGTAAGCTATCAGGGAGGAGCTGTCTTCACCTTCTTTCTCTCACACAAGATATCTGGGCCCACTTGCCTCTTAACTCCTCTGGAATAAATTCCCAATTCAATCATCTACTCAGATTCTGTGGCTGAGGTGAATTTAATGTTGATCTTTTAAATGCTGTCCACTAGGACTGCTTTTTACAATCCAATGCAATCCATCTGAAGTGGGACTATACCAACAACAATTCCGAGCCATGAAACACTAGCTGGAGATTATGAGAATTTTAATTCCATTTTATTTTAAATCACAGTTGGGGATATCTAGCTTAGGATGTGTTTTCCTGGTAGCTAGGAAACTAGCTGTGTTGGAATGTAAATTCATGACTTGCAGAAGTGGCTCCCTTTCAGCTGAGAAGGTAAACAGTGCTCTATCAGCTCCACCATCATAGATAATGGCAAGTAATTGCCACTGTTGCAATCTGCAACATCTGGAGCTCTCACGTTGCCATCTCTGATGCAAGAGGAATTGCTTTTGAGAGAATTAAACCTCAGGTTCACATTTAGAAGAGTCTGAGGAAGAAAATAAAATTTCTAGAGAGCATTATTTGGGCTAAGGACCTAATTGTGTGCAAATGGGCTCTCTAAGATTCTTTTCTGCTTATATATTTAGATAAGATATATCCTATCTTTATATTGATACAGTATTAGGAGCCATGGTGGCACAATGGTTAGAATGCAGTATTTCAGGCCAATTCAGCTCACTGCCAGGAGTTTGATCCTCACGGGCTCAAGGTTGATTCAGCCTTCCATCCTTCCGAGGTTGGTAAAATGAGAACCCAGATTGTTGGGGGCAATAGGCTGACTCTGTAAACCGCTTAGAGAGTGCTGTAAAGCACTATGAAGCAGTATATAAGTCCTAAGTGCTATTGCTATTTGTGCTCTTAAGGTTCTTTCTTCTAAAATTTGTGGCACTTGATATCATTGGTCATTTTTATCTCTCCTGAGTGATAATGTGAATTCAATGTTAGGTGGGAATATTGTGCTAGAAATCAGCCTACTCTTTGAGGGAGATGGGCAGTTCAGAAATGTGAACGTAAGATAGATAGATAGATAGATAGATAGATAGATAGATAGATAGATAGATAGATAGATAGATAGATAGATAGATAGAATAGCAACTGCACTTAGACTTATATAACACATCACAGTGCTTTACAGCCCTCTCTGTGGTTTACAGAGTCAGCATATTGCCCCTAACAACCTGGGTCCTCATTTTACTGACCTCGGAAGGATGGAAGGCTGAGTCAACCTTGAGCCGGTGAGACTGGAAATGCTGAATTGCTGGCTGACAATCAGCAGAAGTAGCATGCAATACTGCATGCTAACCACTGTGCCACCACGGGGGGGGGGGGAGAGAGAGAGAGAGAGAGAGAGAGAGAGAGAGAGAGAGAGAGAGAGAGAGAGAGAGAATAATGAGCAATAGGGTTAAGATTTCACGACCCCAGGTTTGATATAGTATTTTCCAAAGAGGTAAACAAATAGTGGGGAAGCAAAAACAGGGAAATGTTGGTCAGCAAGAAGCTAGCTTTATGAGCTGTTGTCAATTGCCAAGTCTAAAGGTTTTTGATCTCCAAATATTTCCTAGTTACCCCAGATAGCAGAGTCCACTAGTGGGTGGGAACTAGCTAATTATGAAGACCTTTCCCTAAGGAGCAGCTTCTGTTCTTTGCTGTAAAGACAATTGAATCATTCAGAGTCTCTATAGCACTTACACTCTTAGGATTATGAGAGGACAAAAGCTGCTGTTGTGAGGTTTAACTATATGTCCTCAGGACTTGGATATGACTCAAGAATACAAATACTGCAGTACAGTACTACAAAGGATAGCAAAGCACTAATCATGCTTCATCTTATATTAAATAATTTCATAGAAAGTTCTTTGTCAAACAGAGCGTTTTCCTTGCAGGGGCTTCTTTTAACTGGATGAAAAAGTAAAGGTTCATCTAAAATGCTCCCCAACTTTATGATTCTCAGATAAAAGGAGGGCTTGAGCAGTGACAGAATAATTATCACTTGCCACCACAATGATAAACTAGTACCCACTAGAAATGCTTTAATTCATTATGTGATTAAAATGTATTGCTCTCTCTAGGTTTGCTGCATCATCATGCAACCATAAGAAAAACATGGTGTCCCCTCTCAGAAAGCATCCTTGGTTCTGCCCATGAAGCTATGAGAGGACCACTGTTAATACTAGAAATAAATAGCAAAAGGCAAGAACAAATAGGCAGCAAACAAATCCAGTCTTTCAGATCTTCTTCCCCAATATCCTTATGTTCTCAGTAAAGCAAAGTGAGAAGTGCTACTGAAGTCCTAGGGTCAATCTGATATTGTGGCAATAAAACTTACATGATGCTTAGAAGTGACAAAAAGGCACATTTGGTGCATCCTCAAATTCTGAAAGACTGTCTGAAGAGGAAAAAGGCATCCTCCATTCTGTTCAAGAAAAACCATCTACCGAAGTAGAGCAATTTAGAAATATGATCCAAATTTTCCATGTTCTCTAGGTTCCACTCAGATGTCTTTCAGTTTCTCTGTGGATCCCAGAGTTGGTTCTACTTAGGGTCTTTTTTACAAATAACCCATGCAAATTGCTGCCAAATTTGTGGTATCTTCTATGGATTAGGTTATTTATTCTAGAATATCTCTTTCACTGAAATATTAGTAACACAATTATCAGGTTGCCCAATAGGATCTGAAATTTCTAAATCATATGTCTTCTTCCCTGCAGGTGTACATTATCAAGGTCACTTGGTCCAATGGCTCAACAGAGGCAATTTATCGACGCTACAGCAAGTTCTTTGACCTACAGGTAAGATTTCTAAATTTCTGTTAAAGACTGGAATTTTCATTTCACGGAACTATAATATATTTTGTGTTCACACTGTATCTTTAAGGAAACATCTTTTATACATGCATGCATGCAACCATAGGCTCTAATATTATTGCCATGTGGCACTATTTTAGATTTCATGCAAAAATAATTCACCCTATTTGTCAGCTGTTTTCTTTTTCTTTGTAATAGCTAGCAGACGTCTGTAAATATATAAGAGCATTAAATTGGTTATAACCAGTGCTTTTTCTCTAAAAAAAAAAAAGGTGCTGGAACTCACACATGTCATACAACCCGCCTTGCCTACCCTACAAGGTTCCATCCAAAAAAGGTGCCAGAACTCCATTCTAGGCGTTCTATGAGAAAAAAAGCCCTGGTTATAACAATGTTTGAGTTTGTTCAGTTTCTTTCGGACAAAATCGCTCAGATTCAGAGAGACCTGGACTCCGACTGGGCAGTGCCAGCCGAGTTGCCAGGGGCTGGTCTTAGTCATGTTATCTGGAGCGAGTTTGAGCCTGTGACCCCTGATGAAGTGGACAAGGCCGTGAGGGCAATGAACGCCGCCACCTGTTTATTGGACCCATGCCCCTCTTGGCTGGTTTCTGCCAGTAGGGAGGTGACACGAGGCTGGCTCCAGGCGATAATCAATGCCTCCTTGATGAAGAGGTCTTTCCCGCAACCTTTAAAGGAAGCGGTGGTGAGGCCCCTCCTCAAGAAGCCTTCCCTGGACCCAGCTGTTTTGAAGAACTTTCGTCCCGTCTCCAACCTCCCCTTTGTGGAGAAGGTTGTAGAGAAGGTGGTGGCGTCCCAACTCTTGCGATCCTTGGATGAAACTAATTATCTGGACCCTTTTCAATCTGGTTTCAGGCCCGGCTACAGCACTGAGACTGCTTTGGTCGCACTGACCGATGACCTCTGGCGAGCCCGGGATAGGGGTCATTCCTCTATCCTGGTGCTTCTTGACCTCTCAGCGGCTTTCGATACCATCGACCATGGTATCCTTCTGCGTCGTCTCGGAGAGGTGGGGGTGGGCGGCACCGTATTGTGGTGGTTCTCCTCCTACCTCTCTGACAGGTCGCAGTCGGTGTTGGCGGGCAGACAGAGATCGACCCCTAGGCGCCTCGATCATGGGGTGCCTCAGGACTTGGTCCTGTCCTCCCTCCTTTTTAACATCTACATGAAACCGCTGGGTGAGATCATTCGGCGACACAGGGTGAGGTATCATCAGTATGCGGATGATACCCAATTATATATCTCCACCCCGTGTCCTTTCAGTGAAGCAGTCGACGTGATGTGCCAGTGTCTGGAAGATGTGAGGGTCTGGATGGGGGTGAACAGGCTTAGACTCAACCCTGACAAGACCGAGTGGCTCTGGGTCTTGCCTCCCAAAGGCCAACTGGATGGTCCATCATTAGTCCTGGGGGGGGGCAAATTTACTTCCCTCAGTGCAGGCACGCAACTTGGGTGTCCTCCTGGACTCACAGCTAAATTTGGAACAACATCTATCGGCTGTGGCCAGGGGGACCTTTGCACAGGTTCGCCTAGTGCACCAGTTGCGGCCTTATTTGGACTGGGAGGCTTTACTCACAGTCACTCATGCCCTTGTCAGCTCAAGACTGGATTACTGTAACGCGCTCTACATGGGGCTACCCTTGAAGGGCATTCGGAGGCTGCAGTTGGTTCAGAACACAGCCACGAGAGCGATTGTGGGCGTGCCAAGGTACGCCCACATGTCACCTATCCTCCGCGAGCTGCACTGGCTTCCTGTGGGTCTCCGGACACAATTCAAGGTGTTGGTTATCACCTTTAAAGCCCTTCATGGCATAGGGCCAGTTTACTTACAGGACCGCATTCTGCCGCACAGTTCCCAGAGACCGGTGAGGTCCCATAGATTAGGCCTCCTTCAGGTCCCGTCGGCCAGACAATGTCAGCCGGCGGGCCCTCGGGGAAGGGCCTTTTCTGTGGTGGCTCCGACCTGGTGGAATCAACTTCCCCCCGAGGTTCGAACTACTCCCACTCTGCCGGCCTTTAAGAAAGCCGTTAAAACTCTCCTGTTCCGGCAGGCCTGGGGCTGATGTCTCCGGGGGGAGGGGCGGGATATGATCGGACTCGCGGTATGACTGTATTATTTTATTGTTTTATGATTGTTTTAATCTCTGTATGCCGCCCTGAGTCCTTTGGGATTGGGCGGCATATAAATAAAATTAAATACAAATACAAATGTTAAAATACCAAGTTTTAATCAAAATCAAAGCAATTCTGTAATTATTGTACAATCCAGTGAATCATATCCACATCTGATCAGAGATAAAAAAGGTTCTTCCTTGGTCAGTCTACCCAAGTTTTTAAATGGTCTAGACTCTAGACAACCATGTTCATATTAGTAACTTAAATAGGAAGATCTTTTATCAATTACGGTTCAAACTAATGTTATTGGTTTTTATTAATCTTGTTTATTCCATGTTTTTTGCTGTTTGGCTTCTGATCCTGCACATGTTTCATTTTCTTTATTGTATCTTTTGTCTTGGTATAGAAAAGAAAACTGGATTAATGTGTGATGATAACTTGCTTTTCGGTTATTTCAGACAAAGGAATGATTTTTAGAGGAACAGGACTTTTTCTATGAGCTCATATTCTTTTGTGCTGGGCAGGAGATTGTAGATAGAAGATAATAATTGAGGCTCATAGTTGAACTGTCAGGTTTTGTGTAATCTTTGAGCTTGGTTGTTTTCGTGCACACATTTCACTATCCAAGTAGGTAACATCTTCAGTGCACTGATGATTTTACCCAGTTGGGTAATGAAATGTCTCCAAGAAAACAAAAGCAAGCTCAGAAAGTACCAAGGGTCACACGGATGCCACTGTTTTGAAAGGAAAATGCTTTTGGCATCTGAATAGATTTATTTATTTACTTAATGAATTTGTAAGGCAGCATATCTCAACTCTGGCTCATGAATAATATCAAACAATTCCAATCAGAAATACAAACATTAAAATACACAGTAGCTGAGGAAGGTATCAAATCAACATTCACTAACATAGCCAGGAGGCAACTTCCTCCACTTACTCAAGGCCCTTGGCCCAGTCACAAAATCAGATTCTGAGGGCATTATAAAAGGTTTTTAGCATATTGACCACTAATCTACTTGGCTGATATTGTAAAAAAAAATGCTTGGTATAAGAACTACTGTTTTAATTCTTTGTCAAATTGTACCACAGAATTCCTATACTTTAAATTTTGATACCTTTTTTTAAAAAGGAGACTTTGAAATATTTGGACAGCAATCCTTAAGCAGCATAACCAAGATCTACTTTTTTTTTTCCATTTTCCAAAATTTACCTACCAGAGTTTTGAAAAGTTCGTAACATTTTAAAACAAAGGCATATTTTTCTTAGAAATTTATGTCTATTCTTGGATGTTTTCTGTCTCTACACCAGCATTCCTCTCTGTTCAAATTAGATGGGTGATATGCTGAGTTAATTTGCTCCAGTCCTGGGGAAGTGAGTGAATATATTACAAGATGGTTCTGTGCAAAAGGACTATAAAAGCTTAACTATTATAATTCTCTAGTATCTTTAGCCAAGCTGCATTAAGGGTAGAATTGGTCCTACCATGATTTATAAATAAAAATACCTTAAAGTGATCCTCTGCCTACTTAACAAATTCTAATCTTTAAATTTACAGTTGCTCATTTGTAAAAATGTTTATTATTCCAAACATTTTACACTATATAATTCAAACACTGCTATGTTTTGCTTGTTAATACTTAAAATTGTTATGCCACCTGTCAGAAATGGTGTAGGGTCTCCTGCTTGGGTGGAAGGGGGTTGGACTAGATGACCTATAAGGTCCCTTCCAACTCTGTTCTTTTGTAAGTCATTTCAAATAAACAAAGCATTTTTAGTATCACATTACAATAGTAGAAGAAGAGTGGCTTCAGCTGGAAGGCAAATTAAACATGTCATCAGTTTGGAGTCATTGTGTTGCCACAAGAGACCCCAACTGTCCATTGACCCTTATCCAATGCCAATTTAGCTTTGACCATTAGTTGACTAGGTTCTTGTGTATAGGTAGCAATAATAAGCTTTTCTTACTCAAAATAAATGAATGTTCCTGGTTATTTGCTCCTGACAATAAATGTTGATTGTAGTGCAGGGGTCCTCAACCCCCGGTCCATGGACCGATACCAGGCCACGGCATGCCAGCAACCGGTCTGCACAAGGTGAGATCAAACAAGCAAAAGCCCCATCCGTGAGATGCAGGCAGCACACAAAACCACGCACTCTCTGGTCCGCGGAAAAACCTCTCTCCCCGGAACCGGTCCCTAGTGCCTAAAAGGTTGGGGACCTCTCTTGTAGTGTATCTAGCACAGTGCTTCTCAACCTGTGGGTCGGGACCCCATTTGGGGTCGAACGACCATTTCATGGGGGTCGCCAAACAAGGCTGTCCACCATTATTTCCCCCTTTTCTTTGGCCACGCCCCTGGCACCCGGTGATGTATAAGTGGTTGGGGGTCACCACAACATGGGGAACTGTATTATGGGGTCACGGCATTAGAAAGGTTGAGAACCACTGATCTAGCAGAATCTATGCCTCACTGATGAATGCTGTTTTACTACTTAATTCAAACTTAAAAGTATGGATTGATTGATGGATTGATTATTTATTTATTTATTTATTTATTTATTTCCTGCCTTTATCGTTTTTCTAAACAACTCAAGGCAGCAGACATATATAATATTCCTTCCAATTTTCATGAAGTCTTGTGCTTTTCTGTTAAGTACTGCAGTCTAGTTAAAAACTAGCCTCTTGGTCTCAGTCCATGCAGGGCTTTCCTGCATTGGCAGCTAGCAGAAGACTCATTCCACCAGGCCCCAGAAATGGTTGGAAATGCGCCTTTATGTTAAAATCTCTTTTTATGCACTTGTCGGTTGAGTCGTACTTTTTGGAATTATCTGAGAAATTCCCCCATATTGTG